GAGAAGTCAAGTCACTTGCCCGCTAGTTGCGTGTAGAGACGTGAGAGGTAAGGCTGTGTTGTGGGGCATGAAAAGCTGGTGAGGGTAATTTATATGCTTTGCAGTGACACCAACCTAAATAGTTTGCAATCACAATATCCTTTCTTAAGCCTCTTTCCAGACGAAGCTGACAAGAATGGAAAAACCAACCAACCAACTCTATCTCTGCCTGGCGGCCTGGGAATCACCCAAGGCAGTTGATTTGCTCAGGTTGGCCCTGTTATTCTAAACTTGACTGCTTTCTAGAAGTTCATCAACAAACACATTCTTAAGAGCTGTTTTGGCCCGACCTCCTCATTAGGGAGTCAGGGAAAAGAGCTTGGCTGGAGATGGTAGCACCCTATGTTCTAGAACTCCCCCATGTGGCCAGATTTAAACAACAGCATCCGTGAGTGAGAGCCCAACGGGAAAGCAATGAGCTCCTTCAGTGGTGACCATTGGCAGAAAAGCAGCTGGGGGCCATTTTGTCAAGAAGTACTCCTTTGGAGAAAAACAAAACAAAACAAAAGGCATACAGGTGCACGCCAGTGTCCTCATAATAAACTATAACAAAGGTGGCAATTAAGTTCCATTAGGGGCAGACAGCTTTAAATTAGATAATGTATTCAGAAAGCATTCTATAAACTGCGGAGTGTGAGAATGTGAAGCCTTATTATTATTATCCTTATTTCTGCAAAATTGCCCGGATTGCTATGCCTGCCAAGGCCAGTTAAAGGGCCAGGGGATAGCGAAGACCAAATGAGTAGCTCTCTGGGGAGAGGAGACAGACGCGAAAGGGTTAAGCTCCCCAGAACACCAATGTATGCAAAGGGTTAGATCCCAACTGGTTTTCAGGCCAGCGCTGAGATCTGAATTACAAATTTACAGAATTTGCTGCTCAGTAATTTTTTTTTTCCTCCCCTAATGGAGCCTGTTAATTTCCAGTTGGCCACGTTGTGTTCACTGATGGCATGAGGAAGGTCTAGCATGCAGAGCCGTATTTCTACTCCCCGTGCGGACCCCCTTTTAAGAAGGCTTCAAAAGGGACATGCAGAGGATGCTTAAAACCCACCCTTATCATTCTTACCATTCTGCAAAGTGCATGCCCTGCGTCTGCGGCTTGGGTGAGTTAATAATTGAAATCCTCTTCCTTTCCAAAATTGTCTTTAAAGTAGGAAGGCTAGCTGATTTACCTTTTTGTGGCTTAAGATCCACGTGGGACTATTTGGCCTAAGAAGTGGCGTTTGTCAGGTCCGGATTGTAGAAATCTGTTCCCTTCTGGGGGTGGGGGGGGCAGTCGGAGAAGGAGCCAGAGGGACACAGATTCCAGTCTCTTGGAGTCTGATTTAATGGGGCTCCATTGCCATTGCCTCTGGACTGTTTGCAAGCAAACAAGGACAGTCCAGCTCAAGCGTGTGCGTGTGTGTGTGTGTGTGCGTGTGTGTGTTGAAATCCTTGGTAGCTTGCTCCAAGAAAAGAGCAGGGGGAATGCAACAAAAACCGAAGAACTTAACTTTCTTTCTCTTTTCCCTCCGTTTTTGGCATTTCTTTAGGCATGCCTCCCCTCCCCTGGATGATGAATTCTCGAGGGACCTCATGGGCTGCTGAGAACAAGCACGCTTTTGAATGAACTCTTTTACGGGTATCAGTCCAAAAGTCACCATCAGCTGCAACTGAAAAGCAGAGTGGGTTTTGTTTTTGTTTTTGTTTTTGTTTTTGTTTTTCCCCCAGGGGCGGCCAGTTCGGCTCAAAAGCTCAGTTCTTGGAAGGGCCACTTCTTCTTGCCACTGGAGAAGACACACCTCCCTGTGCACCTAAAAATAAAAAGTAAATAAATAAATGAGTTTGTAAATTTTTAACGAGGTCCCTCCGGCCCCTCCTGCAGGCCATAATTCCCTTTCAGTTTCAGAAAGTGTGTTTCGTGTCTCCACGTGCACAGCTCTGGCTTCCAAGTGGCCCTTCTGGGCTCCACGGTTTGAGGAACTTGGGTCCCTCAAGGCTCTTTGAGACCCCAGAGCCTTCTCCTGAGCTCGTCTGGGGAGTCTCTGCTCTTTTTCACAGGAGTTCAGCGGGAGGCATGGAAATTAGTATTGTCTGTAAACGCACCAGGAATGAGCTCTCAACTAAAAAACAAAACAAAATACACCACACACACACACACACACACACACACACAAAGCAAACCCTCAAAACTCAAAAATGGGGTTTCAACGCGCTTCTGAGGCTACTACTAGATTTCAAATCTCCCAAACAAGTCATTTTCCGAGTCTACTCTGGCTTCAGTTTTCTTGCCTTTTAAAAACGACAATAACAAAAAAACCAAAGCAATTTCATTAAAAGATGGCTCTCTCTTTTTTTTTTTTGGCCAGGACGATATGAAACTGTTACAGAAAGAGTTGGGTTTGCAGAGAGGTTCTCAGCAAAGAACTCATTTAAGATTTTTTTTAAATCCAGGGAGGTGGGGGGGGATGGGAGGAGGGCTCCTTCTGCGTTAGTGACTCAGCCCTGCCTGGGGGCACTTCTCATCAGGGCAAAAAGCCCCTGTGCCCAGCGAGGTGAAACTTGCAAATGAAACTGTCACCTTTCTCAATGGACGACTATGGCCCAGAGCTCACCAAAGGTCACACTAGGCGCCCCCCCTGGTGTTTGGGGACAAAGGAATAAACAGCTGCCTGGCCCTGTGTTCTATGATGATGTTGGTGGAGGAAAGTCACCCAGCCAGTAAGGGCTTCCCCAAAGGACTTTTTCCTGATTTGCGCCAAGTTAAGCATTCAGACAGGAGGCGGCATGAGGTCATTCTCAACCGGGTGAGTCACAGACACTGATCTCCAGGTTGGAGCAGCAGATCCGAAGAGGCTAAAGGGAAAGCTGCAAGGAAAAGACCTCTGATCTTTATTTGAAACCTAGCAATGGGCATCCACGCTGACAGCTAGCTGGCCACAGCAGCAGCCGACGCCACGCCCTCCCCCCCATCTGCTTTTTTAGAGATACCATTTTTTTCCTGAATGCATTTTCCAAATGCCTTGGTTTTTTTTTTTGGCCAAAGCAATGGTTTTATTTTCCTAATGTAAGACTTGTCAGAAGAGCATATTCAATGTTTACTTCAGATCAACGCGTGACGGCTTTGCACAAGCCAGCGCATATGTGCGAATCTGTGTTTGCTACACGTGCCTGTTTGTATGTGTGATTATGAATATGTTCATGAATTTATTCCTGTATGTAATATAGAAGTATGAATGCGTGCATGCATTTGTGCATTTCTGCATGTAAAGCATGCTTATATGTATGGACGTGTCCCTACGTGGGAATGAACACATGTCTGAATATCATGTGCATATCTGTAATGGACTCTGCCCAGCCCCTCTCCTCTAGCTGTCATGGGATCCCAGCCTCTCAGCTTAGTGGGAGCACCGGGCCTGTCCCACCGCTTCCCAGGGTGGCCTGTGACTCATCAACAAGGGTACAAAGGCTGGCCCCCTTGGCTCAAGATAGAACCCAACTGCGTGTGCAATTCCGGCTCCAGAGCCCCCTGAGGGATCAGGATGGAACTCAACTCCAGCTGACACCAATTCTTGCTCAGCTCCCTCCCCTGCCCTGTTGTTCACTTCCTCTCCCTCCCCCTCCTGGTCCTCCCTGGGTATGTCACATGCTTCTGAATCCCTATCTCAGGCTCAACTCCAGGCAGCCTGGCCTAAGGCGGGACTTTTATGTAAGTGGGAGTGTGTGCATGCAAATATATGTGTGTACACATTTGCATGTGTACGTGCCCATATACAAGGGGAAAAATCTAGGAGCATCTGCGAAGGAAAACAAAATGGAGGAAGAACACTGATTTCATGCTGTGGAAGATGAAGGTGTCTCCGAGAGGACAAGAGACCTGCTTTAAAAGTTGAAAAGTAAAAGATGCTTTAGATGTAAATGTATTTTTTTTTATTAAATCAGAAAAAGAAAGGTACAGTATACATGATATCGATCAATCATATGCTACTTTGAATTACATTTTAATAGACTCATGGTCCTATTTACTCCTCTGTACACGTATTAAAAAAAAAAAAAACCTCGGGTATTTGAATAATCTTCTGGAAATTTTTTATTAACTGGGGTTATGGGGAGGGTTTTATCGGAGCACATCCTGAAACATTAGGAAATTACAGACAGACTTTGAGATAAGTGTCAGACAGAACAGATGAAGGAAGTCCCTCAGCCATCTGAGAAGCATTAATAATGTAAGATGCGGAGACCAAATCTTTGTTAGGGCTACAGGACGCAGGATTAAAACGGAGACCTCGGTGCCCCCTTGTGTCGCAAAGTAAACTTGCAACTGCATTTATTTTGTGCCTTTTTTTTTTTTTTTTTTTCCCCTGAAGTTGTAATCCTTGCCCTCATCACTGAGCACAGCTGTCTTCCCAAATCATTTCAAACCCTCTGCGGTCAATCTTTTCCCTCTCATCAATAACTTTCAAGGACCCTATTCGAAAAGCGACTCGTATTCATTCCTTTTCCATTCCCCACACATTCCATTTCAGGAAGTTGGTAACCTCCCGGCACAGAGCCCATGTTGTCCCTCCTCCAAATGTGAACTTAACCGGATTTTTGTCTCTCCTCTTGGAGCTCAGAAGAGGAGCCTGCATGTACTACAGAACTTAATTCCCTCTGCAACTTACTCACCACTGCCACGTTTCGTAACTTCGCCAGGATGCATTCCTCCGCCCCCTCCGCTCTCTGCTTGGCAACCTTCAACTCTTCTGACCTAACCGGTTAACCTGCTAAACCATCTTTACGGTCATTTACCGGAAAAGATTGGACCCGAGACGTAAATAATACACCTCAATATACAACAGCTCAGGCTTAATTTGTAGGCAGAATTTCATTTGATGGCCACGAGAAGAAGACTATGTACATGGAGTGGGCTGGGGGAGGAAACGGAGTAGGGAGAAGACATCTTGGTGCAGGACAACTTGGTGGGAACTGTAGTAATTTGTTTACTTGGTTTTACCAGCTGGTCCGATGGATACAGGGTCTGTCTGCACTTGGGCGTCCAACATCCGCTTTGGTCCCTGGAGAAAAATAGAAAGAAGTTGCACCCTAATGAAAGACTGAACCATCAAGGGCAACGACTGCTGTCTATTTAGCGCTTACTCTGTGCCAGGTGTTGAGCTAAACAAATGCACTTTTTTCATGAGTGGTGGATAAAAGAATGGCCACCAGTCAGATGTTGCAGCGCAATGCCCAGTTATAGTCTTTCTAGCTTTGCGAAATCTTGGAGAAATTACTTAACTCTTTTTTTTTTCACTTATTTAAGTAATCTCTGTACCCAGTGGGGCTCGAGTTCACCACCTCGAGATCAAGAGTTGTGTTCTCTCCCGCCTAAGCCAGACAGGTTCCCCTTATCTACCTCTGTAAACTCAGCTTCTCCATCTTTAAAATGGGGACAATACAATGTCTCAGAGGGTTGCTCCAAGATAAAGTGAGTTCATTCCTGTGAAGTACTTAGAACACTACCTGCGCTGCGAAGAACGCTTCACAGTTGTGTCTTGCTTTAGTTACCCCATCCGATCACTTGTGAAACACGTTGCCCTGCTTAACTTTTTACGAAACATAATCACCATCTGAAATGATCTTATCATCTATGCCCTGATATCTGTCTCCTCCACCTGAATGGAATAAACTCTGAGTCAAGTATCATTATTACTATTGCTATTATTATTATTTTACCTTTTCTGCCCAGTATAATGTATATACAATGAAATCAACCTCTTTGTGTACAGTTCTGTGAGCCTCGACCAACCCAAATAGTCATGTCACCACCACCAAAATCAAGATATAGCGTAGTGCAACCCACTCCCAGATCCCCTTTGAGTCTCTTTGGAGTCAACCCCTTGCCCCAACCTCCAGACCCCGGCAACCACTGATCTGTCTCTATCCCTAGAATTTTGCTTTTCCAGGACAGCATATCAACAGAATCAGAGTACATAGCCTTTGAGTCCAGATTCTGTCATATAGCATAATGGATTTGCGATGCATCCATGTTGCTGCATATATAAGGGGTATTTTATTGTTGGTCCTGTTTTACAGTATATGTAGTATAGGCTAGTGATAGTATAATATAGGATAGTATATATATTTCAGTAAAGTGTGTATGTGTGTGTGTGTATATATACATATATATATGAGATAGTGTGATATAGCAAAGTATATATAGTTGTACAGTATAGTGTAATATATAGTATAATAAAGTATATATAGTACAGTATATATACATAGTACAGGCTAGTATTATGTAATATAGGATGCCATAATATAGGATGATGTATATTGTATAGTATACATATAATGAAATCTAGTGTATTAAATGTAGCATGGCATATTATAGTATAGCATAGTATAAATAGTATAGTATATATTATATAATACAGATAATATATATAGGGTAATATAATACAATAAATATAGTATGGTATAGTGTATGTAGCACAGTGTAGTATGCAATAGCATATATACTACAGTATAGTATAATATTGGGTAGAATAGTATAATACGCTATTACAAAGCATATTTATATATGTATATAGCCTAGTAATACACATAGTATCATGTCGTATAATGTAGTATAGCGGAGCATACACAGTATAGGATAAGATAGTACAACACACAGTGTAGGACAATAGTGTAATGGTATAGTGAATATAGCATGGTTTAGTAATATAGCATGGCTTAGTATAGTACAACAGATAGGATGTACACAGGTGCATATATGGTGCGTATACAGTACAACGTACTGCGGCATATGTTGCATAGTGTAATACAGAGTAGTACAGTGGAAAGCATGTTCTGTAGAGTAGAATGCAATGTAGTGCAGTTTACCGCTGGAATCAGATCGCTGGGTTTTGAATTCCAGATCGGCCACTTCCTGGCTGCTTGACTTTGGTCAGGTTGCCTTAACCCCGTGCACCTCAATTTTACCAGCGGAGCTTCGCAGGGAGGCCGTGCAGAGCAGATGTGAGCGTATGTGAAGTGCGGTCGCGCAGTAGGTGCTATAAAAGAGTTACTGTGATTGCTTTTTGTTGCATTCGTTCATTCACGGGACAGCACGTATGGATCACCTACTCTGTGCAATACATCGTGTCCGTCTGGGAAGACGAAGAGGAGAGGCCAACACGGAGTAGTGAAAGTTGGGACTCAAAGCTCGAGGACGGCTCCGTCCCTCTCAGGTTCCTGACCTCTGATCAATCCCTTGTCTGTGAGCCTGTTGTCTCATTCGTGAGGTCACCCTGGTCTTCCCAGCATCCTCTGGAGCTGACCCCATCATCACTGTCATTATCAACTCAAAGGAGAGAGCTCAGGGAGCTCAAGTCACTTGTTTTCCACCAGGAAGTGGTGGACCCGAGCTCTGTGTCCCGTGTGCCCGAGTCCTGAGCTCGTGTCCTGCGCTCTAGGTGGCTCCCAGCCAGTCCGTCTGCCTTGCACCGTGAACACCTAAGTCACAAAGTTGCTGGACACTTGGTGGCATCTCACTCACCTGCATCTTTACAGCCTAGGGAGGGGCTGACTGAAGAAGAATCATAATAATCACCGTAAGAATAAAAATCGCTGTTCCCCCCTGACAAATTACAACATGCCAGGGATGTTTCTAAGGTTGCCATATCTGATCTCATTTCATTCGGGCTAACTCTGTGACCGAATCGGCCCGTTGATAAGGCACCTGAAACTCAGGAAGGCGACTTGTCCAAGGTCACGCGGCCACTGAGTGGTAGAGCTGGGTGCAAATCCAGGGACGAGCTTCTCGAGGGCTGGACTTAGGCTGGCCCTGGGGAAAATGATCCCTTCTGTCCCCACGTCACCCAGCATGCCCTCCGTTGTGCTGCTGTCTGTCCTGGTTCACACAGGCCTCCCCCCGACACTCAACCTTAGCCTCCAGAGGTCCTATTCCTTCAGGTACTGAGGGTCTTTTTACATTTTTTTATTAGATTTTTTTTAAGTTTATTTATTTTGAGAGAGAGAGAGAGCACGTGCAGAGGAGGGACAGAGAGAGAGGGAGACAGAGAATCCCAAGCGGGATCCGTGCTGTCAGCTCAGAGCCCGGTGTGGGGCTCAAACTCATGAACTGTGAGATCATGACCAGAGCCAAAATCAAGAGTCAGATGCTTAACCAACTGAGCCCCCCGGGCGCCCCAGTGCTGAGGGTCTTGATGGGCTGAGTCTATCAAACTCAGCTCACTAAGTGGCTGTCTTGAGCTGAACTTGGCTTGTAAATGGCTTATGACAAACATATTTTCTTCTTTTAGGTTTTAAGTTAAATGCTGACATTTAGAAATTAATGCCTTGGAGCACCTGGGTGGCTCGGTCGGTGGCCCGTCTGACTTTGGCTCAGGTCATGATCTCCTGGTTTGTGAGTTTGAGCCCCACGTCGGACTCTCTGCTCTCAGCACAGAGCCCACTTCAGATCCTCTGTCCACCCCCTCTCTGCCCTTCCCCAACTAGTGTTCTCTCTTGCTCAAAAACTAAGTAAAAAACATTTTAAAAAATAAAAATGAAATGTTTCACATTACAATCCGCACTTTTGTTCTTCTCTCTTGAAAAGCGAGAAGACCTGCCATATTGGACCCATAAACCTGCAAGGCGATAAATGACTGGGACCGAGTGGCCGTGCCCCCTTTTAGATGGGGCACCTGCTTTTCCAGTTGCCACAGACCCCTCCCAGGTCTCTTCGCTCACATACGGTCCCCCTCTGGACTTTGGCGATCAGAGCCCCAGGACACCTTTGTCCTGCCTGGTGTATCAGGACGGTACTTCACAGTTTACAACCAGCCGAACCAAATCCACTGCCACCGGGTCCCTCTCACCAGCCCGGTGAGGGGGGCAGTGATTAGTAACCAGTCTTACAGATGTGCAAACCGGCTCCAAGATGAGCCAGGGCCAGCTTATGTAGCAGCGGACTGGCCACCTGGACTTGGAATCCGGACCTCAGATCACCTGTCGTCCAGGCTCCATCCCGTGCACCACTGCTCTTTCCAAGCCCTGGGCGGAGTAACTGAGCTAATTGTCACAAGCCTCAGTTCAGCCTGTGCCCAGTGGAGACGGGCAACGATGACAGGTAGGGGCCCCTGGGGAACGAAGAGCAGGCCTTGCCTTCTTTCCAATCCCCACCGCCTCCTCTGTAAAACGTGCAGATGGGACGGCACAGAATCTTCTAGCGCTACATAAAGGTGTCTCAGGGGCTCCCACAGGGGGAGAGATGGGGGGGGCCACCAGCTAGGGGGTTCTTGAGCCCACTCCCCCTGCAATCGGGGCTCTGTGTTGGTCAAGTAGATGTGTTTCTATGTCCACACGTATGTGTGTGCACACCCACATGCACACGCATGCACACGCGTGAAGGTTCTCGGTTTCTTTGTGAACGAAGTCCCTCTGCTCAAAAACCAAATGCTTGCAAACAGCTGCACCTGCCGAGTTCTAAAGGCTTCCTTCCAGTTCTTTTCAGACGTCGCATGAACTGCTCAGGAGGCTGCTCCCTGTTAGAATTCAGGCAGCATGCTGGAGGAGGCGGAAGGAAGGCGCCGAGCAGAGACCACCTCGCTGGGAGGGCACAGAGCGAGCAGGGATTGGCTGGCGGTGAACTTGGGGAACTGACTGGGGCGGATGGTCTTGGGGAGGGAGAGAGAGAGGTGGCAGTGAACGGAGGGAGAAGGGAATGCAGGGAAAGGAGTCCTGTGGGGGGTTTAAGGTGAGAGCCATGTGGGCTGATGTCCCCACTTTGGTGGGGGTTGAGCTCCAGTCCACACGGAAGGTCCCATAACACTTGCCAGGGAGATGAGGGCGTCTACTACAGAACTCCTGCTTCGTGCCAGGTGCTGGATCTGGTAGGGTGTGCGTCTGTGTGTGTATTTACGTTTATTTATTTATTTTGAGAGAGACAGAGTGCACGAGCGGGGGAGGGCCAGAGACAGAGGGAGAGAGAGGATCCCAAGCAGGCTCCCCACAGTCAGCACAGAGCCCAACGCGGGGCTCAAACCCACCAACTGTGAGACCATGACCTGAGCCGAGATCGAGAGTGGGACTGACTGAGCCACCCAGGCGCCCCCCGTAGGGCATATATGCATTTGATTCTCATGGGAACCCTCAAATGGTAGCTGTAATCATCACCTCAGTTTTGCTTAAGGGACACCGGAGGCTCTGAGGGGTTAAGTGATTAGCCCAAGGTCACACAGCTAGGTAGGAAGTGGTAGGTCTAGGACTCGAGTAAGTGAAGCTGCCTGTCTTCACGGCACAGACTCCTCGGCACCGTTCTGTCCTTTCTACTGTCCTACGTGGCACAATTGGCACTTTGGGCTGGATACCTCTTTGTCATGGAGGGCTGTTCTGTGCACTATGGGACATTTAGCAAGGTCCCTGGTCTCTGCCCACAACATCCCAGTAGCACTGACTCCTAGTTGTGACGAGCAAATCAGTCTCTGACGTTGCCCAGCGTCCCCCACAAATAAAATCGCTGATTCAGAACCATTGGACGAGAGCCATCCTGTCAGGTCCAGGGGTGTCATGGGTAAGGGGATATGCAGAGAACACCCCCATGAGCCTATGACCAAAACAAAGAAAAAAGAAAGAAAAGAAACCCCCCCAAAAAACCAACCAAAACCAACAAGAAAGACTGGGCCCGTGAGCTCAGAACCTTTCTAGAACAGCACCCTCCCCATGCCCTATGCCGCCCTGTGCACTGTGGTTTGGCAGGGAATGTTTCAACCAGAACTTTGGGCAGAAGTAGTAGTCGGTTTGGAAATGTCTAGAGAAGTGCGATTAGGGTTTACACTCCTCTCCAAGGAGCGAGAGCTGAGAATGGAGACAAATTTTCCAGCAAAACCACCCAAAGCACGATCAATCTTTCAGACACCCCCTCCTTTGGTGGTTGGTCTCCTTCACCTCTTAAGAACTGGAGAAGAGCTTTCACTGGAGGTTTGGGGGTGACGGAGGGACTCTGGGCCAAGCTTCCCTTTTCCAAGCAGCCCCTGAGCTTGACTTCGGGCATTGCCTCACATTGAGGTTCTATACACACACTGAGACCAGATGGAAATGTGATGGCATTTATCTTAAGACTTTAAACTTGGGGCCCGAGACGCTGCATTTCTAACAGGCTTCCCACAGATGATATTTGGAGACCAAAGCTGGGCTCAGGGGAACCATCGGACTCTCCAGCTTCCATCTGTCGGAAGTCATCAATACCTACAGATATTCAGGGACCAGGGCAATCAGGAGCGATCAGTTGGTCTCGGGCACGTCCTAGACCATGTCCCTACCCCCAGCTCTATCACGACATGAAGGTTACCCCAGTGAACCCCGGCCCCACGGCTACTCTTAATGTTATTTCCGTGCCCTCCTCTATGGGCTCCAGCCACATTCCCGCGGGGTCTAGGTATGACTCCTCTTGTGGCTTCTGCGAATGGATGCTTGATTACCGCGCTTATCATTCGATTAACGACCCTTAGACTCTCCTTGTTTGCCAGGACTTATATAATAAAACATTTACCGGCGTCGTATTTCACTTCATCTACGCCTTCATCCATTCAACAAACACTTACGGGGTGTCTACTATGCTCTATCCACCACGCTGTGGAGGACAGCACGTCTGCCCGTGACAGTATGGCCACTGCCCTCCCAAGGCTAACAGTCTCGAGCAGGAGACGGAGAAGAACCGAATAGACACAAATAACCCAAAGGTTGATCGATTATTGAATGTCTGGCCTCTGCTCACCCCTGTGTAGGCCTCTCTGGAAGGAAGGAGCTAATTTTTAGTCGCCTGTGTATCCCCAACACCCAAGATCGGGCTCACAGCAGTTTCCTGGTTTAAACACTTCGGGTCTCCCTTTGGCCACAGACCAACCCTGGTGCTCCTTATCACCTCCCGTGCCTGCCTCCTATGCTCTCTTCCAGCCAGACTGAACTTCACTTCCGTGCTGTCTCTCCAGCACCCCCACGCACCTGCTGTTCCATAAGCAGGAACGCACTGGGCCTTCAGACCTCCCCTTGCCTCCTCCTGCACAGGCTAATTTGAGGCCCCACCTTAGAGCTCACCTCTTCTGAGAAGCCTTCCCCGACACTCCTTTCAACCCCAGGGCAGGGCCACATCCTCATGCTCAGGTTCCCTTCACCTCCTGGCTCTCCCCGCACTCAGTACCCCCGCCCCCATCGATCCACACCTTGCAGGTGGGTGATGTCTGTGTCCACCTCGCTCTGCGTGCCTAGCACAGCACCTGGCACACAGAAGGTGCTCCGTCAGTATTTGTGGGACCAATGTCCAAGCCAGTCCCTCCTTGAAGGCGGGCACCACACTTCCGGCCCAAGATCCCAGAAAGAAGAGTCGCACAATCCACCTACCAGGCCCTTAAAGAAGCCGCCGAGGGACTGTCGCCGCTTCTCCGGTCTCTTCTGGGACTTGTCCCCGTTCTGCAGTGAGTTCACCTCCACCACGGCCGGCTCCACACACTGGGTGGGTTCTTTGGCGTCCTGCTTGTTGCTCTTCTGTTTGTTCCCCTCAGCCGCCACCTTCTTGTCTTTGGAGGAACCCTCCTTGCCCTTCTGGCCCGCCCCTGCCGGCTCCGGCTCCGGGGGCGTGATGACCTTCTCCGCGGAGTCCGATGTCTACAGCAAGTTCAAACAAAACGCATATTTAGTAGCTGCAAGACAAGTCTCCATAGCAGGTGAATAAACGTGTCAAAACAGAGATGTTCAAGTGTTGGATGGTGTTTATGTTTTCATGCATCCTGGACGAGATGGGAAAAAAAATTAAGAAAAAATGTGGGAATCCTCATTATGGTTCAAGGTCACAGTAGGGGATATTTATTTGTTTACCTAATAATTCACTCACTAATTTATGCTTTCCCAGCCAGTATTCTTTCCTCCCTCTCCTGGGACTACAACTTGCGTTTTCCCTGGGGAACCAGGATTCCCTTTCCTCTCTTTCATGTCAGACAAACTTATTCCACCCCTGTGGCTGGGGCCTGGCAATATCAGAGCCTTGCATGTGATTGGGCTGCTGTGATTGGTTCAGAATGGCTCAACACAGATTAGAAACTGAGCCAATCTCGGAGCTTTGCTAAATCAATCAAGAGAGAGGTCTGCCCTCTTTCCACTGGGTTTGAAGGGGTAGCTTCCAGGACCAGCACCATCTCTAGGGAAAAAAATCTGCTTGAAAAGGAAGCCAATAGGAAAGCAGAGTTGAGAGATGGAGAGAGCGAGAGAGAGAGGGAGGGAGGGAGAAGGAGTCTATAAGCTGAGGGTATCACATATGTCCCTGGATCTAGCTGTTCCTGAAGCCCTTTTGAGCTTAAGAGTGTTTCTTCCACTTACAACTCTTTTCTGGGTGATGCCTATTCTTTTCTTCCTGATTACGTCTCTCGTGGTTTCTGGTGTGAAAGTGTGCTTTCACTTATAAAACAGTGGTGAAAGAAGAGGAGCGTTTTATTTTTAGTTTTGAATGTACAGCTTTCATGCTACAGAGACATTTTTGCAATCCTGCTTGGTTCCTTATAATTCCGAGGGAGGAAGCTGTAAAATCCAAAATTCTAGCAAATGCTAGGTAAATTACAGATAACAAAATATCTGTGAAGTAGAAGCCTTTTTCCCATAGTTGGGGGCCACACAGATAAAATAAAAACATGCCAGAGACCTGGGGGAAGAATAATCACATGGAGACTTTACACCCCCGTTGGGAAAGCGACATAAGAACTATTTTTCTAGCGTAAGAAAAACACCAGTTCGAGCAACGCCGGCTTTGATGTTGGGGAGAAAACTGGAGTTGGAGGGGATTGTGGCGACTTATCACATGCCCTGTTTAAAGGGGCAATGGCTGTTCCGACCCAGCCAGATGCTCTACAGGATTGTGGCCCTAGTGCTGTGAAATCTTCTATTTTTCACATGGAAACTTGAAAAGGAATTGTTTTAAATGCAAAATATGTCAAGTTTGAGATACTGACTTCAAAGCTTTAAGGGCCCTGGGAATGCAAACTGGTGCAGCCACTCTGGAAAACAGAATGGGGGGGGTCCTCAAAAAATTAAAAATAGAACTACCCTACTACCCAGCAATTGCACTACTAGGCATTTATCCTCGGGATACAGGGGTGCCGTTTCCAAGGGACACATGAACCCCCATGTTTATAGCAGCAACATCAACAGTAGCCAAAGTATGGAAAGAGCCCAAATGTCCATCGATGGGTGAATGGACAAAGACGATGTGGGATATATATACAATGGAGTATTACTCGGCCATCAAAAAGAAGGAAATCTTGCCATTGGCAACTATGTGGATGGAACTGGAGGGTATTATGCTAAGTGAAATTAGTCAGAGAAAGACAAAAATCATATGACTTCACTCATGAGGACTTCAAGAGACAAAACAGATGAACCTAAGGGAAGGGAAACAACAACACTATAAAAGCAGGGAGGGGGACAGAACAGAAGAGACTCATAAATATGGAGAACCAACAGAGGGTTCCTGGAGGGGGTGTGGGGGGGATGGGCTAAATGGGTCAGGGGCACTAAGAAATCTACTCCTGAAATCATTGTTGCACTACATGCTAACTAACTTGGATGTAAATTTTAAAAATAAATAAATAATTTAAAAGAAGTTTTAAAGCCCTGCTCACAGAAAACCACAGCCCCAGCACCCCCGGGGGCCGCATGGGACACACGGAATACACGCTCACAACTTATGATTTGTAAAAGTTACGTATTGTCCCCCCGTTAAAAAGTTCTCAGACAAAGTTCCCCCTCAGTATCAAGTGTAGCCCTGAGAAATAAGCAAGAAGAGAGAAGATTGCCCCGTCCCCAAAGGCTCCGTAGGTCGCAGCCCCGTGGAGGGCAGGATTCCTTGGAGAAAGGAAACACCCAGGGCACCCCAAAGATGCTGAGCGATTCCGTCAGACCCCATGTGCCAAAGTCGTAGCAAAAGTCAAGACGCAGATGTCCAAGGGCAACAAAGCCCCGAGAGCAGGTACCCTTGCACAAGGAGACAGAAACGCCCACCGTGATGCTCTTCAGAAAGGCCACAAGCCACTTGCACACCGCGTTGACTGTTTTTGTCGTATAGAAGGTTTAAGATCCACTTATTGGCTAAGGGCTTAGTGTCTGCAGCCGAAAGCACACGGTGGGCTCTGGGTCCCTTCACACCCTTGCTGGGTGACCTGGAATGAATTGTTGGGTCTCTCAGCTTCCTCATCTGTGGGGCAGTCACAGAAGACATCGTACCTCATGGTGGCCTCATCGTACCTCATGGTGCGTACCCAGGCCGACTGAGAAGAGTCCGTCATCCCAACCCAACGTTGTCCACGGTGATCCTTCCTGACAGATTCTTTCCGTGTGGGTCCGAGAGCCGGGGGCAGACAAGGGGCTCGGCAAATGTTTGTTGAATGGAGTGTCTCTGTGCCTCCCCAACCTCGTCTCTAATCCCTTTTACCTCTGTTCCTTCTGCTCCGACCACACGGTCTCCTCTTCTTCCGTGAACAAGCTTATTCTCAAAACGGGGGCCTCACGTTTGCTGTAATTCCTGCTCAGGACGTTTGCGGGGCTTGACGTGACAGCCACTTCTTTCCCGTCAAGTCTCAGCTCAGATGTCACCTCCCTGGGGCGGTGGCCCCTGTTTAGACAATCTACCCCTCTCTTACAAAACACAGCTGTGTTTCCTTCATGCTTGCATTGATCTTGGGGGTTTCTTGGCTCACTTGAGAACATTCCGTCTGCCTCCCTCTGCTGGAAGGGGAGCTCTGGAGAACAACACTCTTCTGTCCTCCATGGCTTTATCCCCAGCACCTCGTCTGACACATAGTAAGTCTCCACCAAAAAGGGTTGAACGGATGGCCGGCAACTTGCCTTCCAGATGTTTCTACACTATTTCCCTCGGCAAATCATTGCAGGGTGGGGAGTGAGAAGTGCCCGCACGTCAATAGCTTTCACGGGACATTGATTTTTTTCAGGAGGGGCGCTTTCAGTGGATCAGGTCCATTTACCGCATAATTACGCCACTGCTATTAGGGCTTAAATGTTCTTTTTAATGGCTTAGACACTAACTCCTGGAAATAACAGATGGCTGGTTCCTTACATTCAGAGTAAGCTAAGAATCTAAACTGTGCGATGATTGCTTCGTCATTGAATGTAGATGATTTAAAATCTTTGCTTGGGATTTGACTCTGTCTCAGGATTTATCACACAAATTATTCTCATCTGAATTATCTTGAGTGTATCCTCTTGTAGAACTGAGTGACACTGGCTGGAAGTTGGGGGACAAGGTCATGGGAACATCCCGTTTGATTCAGACCCCGAGGCACACCTCAACTGGGAGTTGCCTTGGGCTCCTTTTCCTAGAATCACCACCCGAGACTTTTCGTAACTCTGAGAGGACAATTCTGAAGGGAACAGAGAATGTCTATTCCCATCCCCCAAATTAAACAAAGCATTTATCATTCTCTCAACGATCACACATCCGTCTCCTCAAGTCTGCATCCAAGACGATCGGCATAACTGTTTCACGTTCACATTCTAGACAAAAATGTACAATTATGTTTAAAACTTTCATATGGAATAAAGTACATGTATCGTGTTTCCAAGATAGTTAACTCGAGGAGTTTTTGTTCCCAGTGGTCCGGAGAACACGTTTGGGGACAAGCACAGCAGGAAGTTGAAAAAGAAAAACAGAAATAATTTGAATGCAGCAAAAAGCAATATATTCCCTGTTGGAATATGTAGGATAATCCAAGTATTATGGTCATGGAAATATAATGAATGGTAGTCACTGCTGTCCATTTGCGTGTGTGATAAGAACAAATACTGTAGGGTGGTAATTTCTTATCAGCGGCATAATAAGTAACAGTAACAAAACAATAGCAACTGCTATGGCTCCCTAGACTGAAGCCCTAACCCCCGGCGTGAAAGTATGTGGAATAAGAAAGTAATTAAGGTTAACTGGGGTCAGAAGGATGGGGCCCTGATCAATAGGATTAGTGTCCCTATAAAAGCCACCATGTGAGGACATAGTGAGAAGGCAGCTGTCAGAAAGCCAGGAAGGAGCTCTCCTCACCAAGAACCAAACCATTGCTGGCATCCTGATCTTGGATTTTCCAGTCTCCAAAACTGTGAGAAAACAAATTTCCGTTGTTAAACCACTCCATCTATGACAGTTGGTATGGCAGCCCGTGCTGATTCGCATGGCCACTAACATTCATCGCGTCCTCCGTGCTGGGACTTCCAGGTGCTGTATGTGCACTGACTCATCTAAGTATGACAGTGCCGTGAGGCAGCGCTTTTCCTAGCTCCATGATATAGGTGAGGAAACTGAGGCACGGAGACATTTGGTAATTTGTTTTCAGTCACACAGGTAAAAGATAGCAAAGCCAGGGTTCAAACGCAGGCAATCTGAGCCAGCAGCTCTGCTCTTAACCAGTTCTCTGTGTTGCAAAAATTAGTTGAAGAATACTTGTTGAGATTTTCGTGGAGGTGTGTTTTTAAGTTAAGAAAGAGTGCAGGTTATAAAATAGGGTATGGAGCATAAGATGACCCCATTTAAAGAAATGAATATGTGGAGTTATAAACATGTCTTAACTGTGTTTCTCTAGAGTGGAGAAAATAATGGAAAAAACCACACGATCCCATGTTTCTTCACTCGTTTTTCAAAGAAATAGCTCCTACTATATGCCAGGCACCATGCAGTGCGATGGAAAAATAGAAGAGGCCCCTCCCTTGCTCCAGACACAGAAAGAAAGGGGTAGAGGAGACAGATAACGAATAGACAGATGACTTACTACAATGTGTCATAAATTCCACGAAGTAAAAGAACAAGACACAACAATGATGGATGGAAATAGGACATCTCTTTGAGGAGGGGACATTCAGGCCAAGACTTGAAGGATGGGAAGGGGTTTGCTCTGTGGAGAAGAGTTGGAAAAGTAAGTGTTAAATAAGAAATAGCTGAAAACTCTAGCCTGTTCATGCATGTGTCTGTAGAGCCCAAGAGAGTGCCTCACGTACAGCAAGCGCTCAACCTAGAGTCGGTAAATGAGCCGCCTTGTGGTTGAGAATTGCATTGGGAACTAGGCTAGAAAGAAGTAAGAGCATGCAGGCTAACCCCACCACCGAACAGAGTTGACAGGTCACTTACTTGACAGCTGGAGTCTTTCCCATTTATTTCTTCTGAGTGGGTGATCCCTTCATCCCCTTTCACTGACTAAAATAACAAACAGACAACGGCCTTTCAGCTACTACAAGCACAGCAACATGGACAATGCAAGGGGAGTTCTGGAATGGCTGACCTCGGTCATTCATTATTGAGATTCAGAGTCAACTTCTGCACTTGGAAGACCAACTAGACCAACTGAGATGCGTGATTTCCACGTGGCTTCCAACCAGAGTCCAATTACATTCAAGTGTTGGCTTCCCCAAATCACAACAACAACATAAGTCTTAAACCCTGGGGTTAGGGAATTCTGGGATAAATAAATGATTATCAGCGTGCTAATGTTGGAACCAGGAGGTGGCTGAATGTATTGAATGAATGAACAATTAAACCATTGGTAGGCTTTTCTTGGTAACACATAGGTGGTGATGTTTCCTTGTGTTTTTTTCCTCTAGCAGAGACATGGGGCATGTGGAACACCCTCTTTTCCATTTTAGTGACCCCTGTGGCCTGTGGCATCAGTGACAGAGCTGGACGGGCTGAATTCATAGGTTTGGCTCCTTAAAACAGACTCCCAGCGAAAGGCTCTAAAAGCACGTTCCTGGGACCACAGCTTTCAGCATCACTTGGGAGTTTGTTAGACGTACCAATTCTTGAGAACCACTCCAGATCTACAGAGTCAGAAACTCTCAGGGCTGGGGCCGAGCCACCTGTACTTGACAAGCCCTTCAGGTGAGACACGTCTCAGTGTGAGCATCACTGCTTTCAGCTAACTGGTATAGACAAATGCCGACCAATACTGGGGACTGCAGATTCAACTATGGACTCGGTGATGCTCTGTGCCCGATGCCCGATGCCTGATAAAGCACCTAAGAAATCCAGTAATGAACTGCTCTGCTCTTATCAACAATTTTGACTCAGGTTTCATCCCCACATTAAACCACTAAGTCATCGCTAATCATCTCCTCCTCCCCTGCTGGAGGGAGGGGGTGTAGGAAACAGGTTAAGCAATGGGGGGCAAACAGGAAGACTTCAGATCCCACTGTTACTATCTTCGCTGTTCTGCCAGCAGATGGCAAGGATCCATAACACCTGCATCAGAGAACAGTTAACAACATCAAAGGCACTCAAATAATTTTTTGATCGATTAATATTATATGCCTCTGTCATCTGGGGTACGGTAGTCCTATTAGTAAAGATAATAAAAATTGTTATTTATGAAAGCTAACTTTTCCTGGAGTGCTTACTAAGGGTTAGGCGCTCCAGTGAGGCAGTAACCCACACTGGTTCATTTATTCATCATGCAGAGCCTCAAGATAGAGGAATAGTGTTCTTTTCCTCATTTTACAGTCAAGAAAATGGAAGCTCAGAGAAACTAGCATGGGTCATGGAACTAGCATGTTAGGGAGTCAGGATGTGACTCCGGGCAATCACTCTATTCCACCCTCTTAACTGCCTCCCCTATAAGGCAGGAGATACCATTCAATGAACCCATATGTATCGAGCGTCCACTATGAAGCTCCCCAATTTAGAATAATGGTAGGAGCTTGGATAAGATGCGGGTTGACGAGTCTCCAATAGGGAGGTCTGTGGGACGTGCCCACCCTCAGAGGTCAATCATGCTCATCTTTAAATATTACTTGGTACTGCTCTGATTCAGTAGTCTCCACTAGGACCGTCAGTGGTCCTATTCACACAGTTCATTCAGTGGTCCCATTCACACAGTTCATTCAGTGGTCCCAATTCACACAGAATGGGAATTTCCATGTCCTTTCCTACCTCAGAAACAACCTTTACAGAGCTTGGCATAGCATAGAACCTTGATGCATGCTTTTTAATTGGTTAGGAATGGAAGCGATCTTTCTTCAGCCTGAACCCCTGGGATCTGGAAGTTCCAGATACTTTTCTTAGGGACATTACCTCATGGGCTTCACCAAGGTGTTCAACCCAAAGGCAAAGAAAGATCTGTTTGTCCTCTACATAAACTTTAGATCCTTGTAGATGGAAAGTGGGTTTTTTTTTTCTTCCTCTTGAGTCTTTTCCATTGCTCTACAAGGGCCAGTTTTGCTTGAGAACATGTAGAAAAAGAAATAGAGTCTCTTGCTTACAGTTTCTCTCCCTATAAACAGTTCAGTCGGCCTCCTCGCCCCATCCAAAGGTTTTACCGCTTTGGGATTTCCTTTGCCTCCAGAATTCAGGCCGTCATTAGGAGCCCTTCCTGCCCAAACACGTTCCCTGGCGTCCTTTGAAATATGGAGTCACAGACTCATTAGTTGGTCAGGTAATTCTGAATGGCAAAAACAGGCAGCCAAACACACAGAGTGGCTTTTTAAGCTAAAGCTGAACGGACATTGGGAGGCACAGCCCAGGTGCCACCTTTCCTCCCTGAGAGAGACTCGTAACTTCTCTCCAGTGGCTTCAATTTGGTATCTGGTAGGTCCCCTGCCAGCTTAAGGTTTTGATCTGTTTCCTTTCCATCCCTTTCCTTGCTAACCTTTGGAGGAGAAATTGGGTTGAATCAGGAAGCTTTCTTGGCAGCGGTGGGTCTAGGCAAGCGTCCTGAAAACAGCCCCTCAGGCTGTCAGGGAGATCGTGGCAAAGAAGTTCAGTTTCTTAAAAAAAAAAAAAAAAAAAAAA